TCAAATAAGCTCGTTTTGTTCATACAAACATTCCTTATAATAATACCACACTAATAAAAAGTTAGCAGACACCTCACCAATGGAGTCCTGCAGGCTTCCTCTGGGAAATCTTCTCTAGTGAGGTTGCTTTGGGAGGTTTGCTGACCCACCCACGGCAGCTGTGAAGTTTTTCAGCATTGACAGGTTGGGAGGAAGGTACCAATGGAGATCCAGCAGGCCACTGAGAGCAGAGGCCCTTTGCTAGCATTGACAGGCAGGGACTGTGCCAGAAGTGGAAGTTCAACGGCCACTGACACCAGGACCACATACAGGGTCCAATCTCCAGTCGTCTCCCGCAGGGGTATCAATGTAGAGGCTTGTATTCCATGTCTCAGGAGTACTCCAGTGAGATCCTAGAGATCATTTCTGAAGATCCAGTTTTTTATCACTTCATTTAGCAGTAGCTTTGTGCTTTGGGTCTCAAATATCTGTAGTGGCTCACTAACATATCAAGGCCACCTTGTGGTTAGGCCATTAGCATATCTAGGTCTATTAGCATATCTAGACCTGATTTGGGTCTGGCTCCTACCTGAGCTACCATGTGGCTGGGTTTACTAACACAGAGTTGGGTTCTGAGGCCCAGCTCTGATCAGAGCTACCTAGTGGCAAGCTCTTGACTTACAGGTATTGCATTATTCCAAATCACACAAAATGGTTTCATTTATGTTTCTAACAGGTTTCTGTTTCAATTATTTGAGACAGGGTTTCTCTGTGTAACAGCTCTCTCTGGCTGTCCTGAAACTCACTCTGGAGATCAAGCTGGCCTCGAACTCACTGAGATCCACCTGCCTCTGCCTCCTGAGTGCTGGGATTAAGGGCATGTGCCACACCACCTGGCTAATATTATGTTTTAAATTGAGATAAGATCTCAGTATGTAGCCTTGATTTGCCTGGAACTCAAACTTCCAGAATGCAGGATTAAAATTCTTACCACCATAGTCAATCTGGACTCAGCATTTTCCTTTAAAAACAAAACAAATTTTATTTATTAAATGTTTTAAGATTTGGTTTTCCACATGAGTGTTTTGCCTGCATGTGTATCTGTATCACACATATGTCCACTGAGTTCAGGAAAATGTGATGGACCCTCTGGAATTGGAGTTACAGTTGATTGTTAGCCACCATGTGGTTGCTGGGAATGCACCTGGGTCAACAGCAAGACCAAGAACGCATTCCCAATTGCTAAACCAATCCAGCCCCTAGTCTCAGCATTTAAACAAGAAATATTATGACAATTGTCTATTCTCACTTCTTTCTTCGTGTGTTCTAGAGGGCTCATTGCAGCTATAGAGGAATAGGCATAACCTGTACCAAGAGGTTGGAGAAGAAGCAAAAGTCAAACTCTTACAAATGCTTTCCTAATTTATCTTCCAGTATCAGCCTATAAACACCTGTCAGCCTATAAACACAAGGCCAGCATAAGCACTGGCCCAGGATGTTTTGTTTTCTTGTTATTTTAAGAGTTTGCTGGGCAGTGGTGGCACAGGCCTTTAATCCCAGCACTTGGGAGGCAGAAACAGGTGGATCTCTGTGAGTTCGAAGCCAGCCTGGTCTACAGAGTTCCAGGGCAGACTCCAAAGCAATACAGAGAAACCCTGTCTGGAAAAACAAAACTTTCAGCCCATGACTTGGCTTATATGTGTGTTGTTGTTTTAAACTGACCTCAATGGCAACTTCTTAACTTTACCGTCAGCTGGAAGCAGAAATGAAATAAATTATCTCAGTTAACCTTATTAAAACTTTTCTTTCTTGAGCCTTTAGTCCCAGCACTCAGAGACAGGCAAGCAGATCTCTCTGAGTTTGAGGCCAGCCTGGTCTAAACAATGAGTTCCAAGAGGGCCAGAACTACTAGTGAGATCCGGTCTCAAAAAAGAAAAAAAAAAAAAAAAGAAAAGAAAAGACCAAAAGAGAGAAAAAAAAAAAAAAAAAAAAAAAAACTCTTTAAAATGAAAGGAGATAAGGAAAAACGACCTGGAGAGACGAGGAGAGAAGTTCCTTCAGTAGTACTCGCCCCTCCCGCCCGCTCCAGCCGAGCTGAAGCTCGCCGGCCACAACCTGTTTACCGCAGTCTTGTGGCCCTCCGGCTCCTAATCCTTTGCCTTCCAAACAATTCAAAAGTCGCACAGAACCAACCTATCGTAAGCCTTGTCCGAGGGGAAGGGGCGGGACTTCCGCAAGTGTTTGTAAAAGTCCCTCCAATCAGCGGTCAGCCGCGGGAAGTTTCAGTTCAGGGCGGCTTTAGGTGTTCCTTCTGCGGGTCTGCGGAGGTTTCTCGGTTGCAAGGTCCTAGGGGAACGTGTCCAGAAACTGCTTCAGGTAAGTAGGATCGAGACTTCAGGGTCCACCCCGGCTGCTTACCAGGTCGAGAATGACCTAACCTACATGAGAAAACTTTGAAATGATCTAGAGACGTGGCTCAGCAGTTAGGAGCACTTGCAGAGGTCCACTTCCCAGCACCGCACGTTAGGCAGCTGCTTTTGAAGGCCATCTAGGGATCATGGAGGGCAGCTGAGGCTTGGCACTGGGAGAGGTCATTGGTGAAGGTGCAGCCCAGCTGCAGCCGAAGACACCAGGGCTTTGGAAATGCCAGGACCTTAGGGCGGACCACCAAGAACAGCAGCAGTGCAGTGGAGCAGCCAGAGCCTGGAAGACGCTGTGTGCTGCAGGAGGCAGAGCTTAAGAAGTCAGCCCAGCCCCTTGGAGGAGCCTAGGAGATCGCGAGTGGATGCCAGACGTTGAACATTGTGTTGTTTACACTTGGAGTTTGGGTTGATTGTGACTGTGCGCTGGTTCTTCCCTCTTGAATTAAGAAAGCATTTAATTTTTACTTTTACAAGAGTCCACAGCTGAAATTATTTGAAATATATATATATATAGTTTTTCGAACTCAGAGATTCACCTGCTTCTGCCTCTGGAGTTCTGGGATTAAAGGCGTGCACCACCAACACCCAGTTTGAGATTTTGGATTTTTAAAGAGATCACATATTTTGAAGAGACTGAAATTTGAATGTGTTTGAATTTGTAAAGACTATGGACTTTTGTTGTTGTTTTGGTTTGGTTTAGTTTTTTGAGGCAGGGTTTCTCTGTGTAGCTTTAGAGTCTGTCAGCTTTGTAGATCAGGCTGGCCTTGAATTTACAGAGATCCATCTGCCTCTGCCTACCGGTTTCTGGGATTAAAAGCATGGGCCACCACCAACTGGCAAGACTTTGGACTTTTAAGGTTATTTATGTTTTTAATGTGAGATCTTGGGGATGAATAAGAAAGGAAAGGTTATGGTTTAATAATATGTTTGACTGACAAGGGGTCATTTGTCCTGTCTTTTTTGTTTTTCGAGACAATGTGTCTCTGTAGCTTTGGAGCCTGTCCTGGCACTCACTTTGTAGACCAGGCTGGCCTTGAACCCAAAGAGATCTGTCTGTTTTCTGCCTACCAAAATACTGGGATTAAAGATGTACATCACCACCATCTGGCTGTGTCTTGTTAGTGTTATGGCTAGTCTTATGTCAATTTGACACACAAGGTAGAGTTATCTGAGAGGGAAGCCTCAATTGAGAAAATGCCTCCATAAGATCCAACTGTAGGATATTTTCTTAATTAGTGATTAATGTGGGAGGACCCAGCCCATTGTGAGTGGTATCATCCCTGGGCTGGTGGTTCTGGGTTCTATAAGAAAGACTGAGCAAGCTATAGGGAGCAAGCCAGTAAGCAGCACCCTCCATGGCCTCTGCATCAGCTCCTGCCTCGGGGTTCCAGCCTTCTTGAGTTCCTGTCCTGACTTCCTCAATGAAGGACTGTGGTTAGGAAGTGTAAGCCAAATTAACCCTTTCCTCCCCGGCTTGCTTTTTGGTCTTGGTGTTTTGTTGTAGCAACAGAAACCCTAAGAGCTCTCTTCCTGATTTCTCATCAAAGCTGGAGCTCATTAATTCAGTTAGGCTAACTGGCACAAAAGCTTCAGTTAAGTGCCTGTCTCAGCCCAGAGCAGCACTGGAATTAGACATGCTGCTGTGCCCACCTCTTCCATGTTAGAGGTGAGTGGTGTTTATGGTTGAGTGGCAGATAATTAGTGGACTGAGCCATCTCCCCAGACCATTTTTGCTTCTTGAATTGAGAAGAAAGGGTGAGGTTCTTTATTCCTCACCAGAAGAAGGTTCAGAAAGTCGTTCTGCAACACAGCTCTTTACTGTCTCTGTTGCCACTTTCCATGTGCCTCATCTCTATTCTAGATTATAGTTTTTCTCCAATTCATTTAATCTGTTGAGTAGCTTCCTCCTCCGGGAATCACAAATAGGCCCTGGTATCTTGTCTTTCATAACTTTCTACTTTTATCTTTACTCATTTTTATTCTGTTAGTGTTTTAATATTGAATTTCAAGGGAGTGCAAAGTGGTATAAGAGATGGACTGAAATCTTCATTTTTATTAATTTATTTTGGTCTTTGAGAGAGGCTGTTACTGTTTAGCCCAGACTCACAATGATCTGCTTGCTTGAGCCTCCCAAGTGATGGAATTACAAGGCTAAGCAAGCCACCACCACCTGATCTCAGATTTTAATATTTATTTATTTATTTATTTATTTATTTATTTATTTATTTTTGAGATGGGTAACTTTGTAAACCAGGCTGGCCTCAAACTGTCTGCCTCCACCGCCTGAGTACTGGGATTAAAGGGGTTCATCACCACTGCCCAGCAGATTTTATTTTTATTTATCTATTTATTGAGACAGAGTTTCTCTGAGGCTTTAGAGGCTGTCTTGGAACCAGCTCTTGTAGACCAGGCTGCCTGGTCTGCCTGTCAGCTCTGTAGACCAGGCTGGCCTTGAATTTACAGAGATCCATCTGCCTCTGCCTCCTGTGTACCGGGACTAAAGGCGTGCACCACCACCACTCAGCTTCAGATTTTAATTTTTTTAAATAACAAATAAAAATCCATTTAAGTTGGTGTATGTTTCTCTTTTTTGACAGGATGCCTTTATCCCAGTTTGCCAGTCGCCTTCGGAAAGATTTAAGCACTGAAATGATTAGAACTAACATTGCTCACAGGAAGTCGTTGTCTCAGAAGGAAAACAGATACAAGGTGTATGAACGGAACAGGCACTTGGGCTTTAGAGATGTCAACATTCCATTGGAAGGGAGAGAGCTTGTTAATATACATGAGGTGTCTCAAGACCTCGCTCCAGAAAAGGCCAGTACCAAAATAAGTAAGTAAAAACCTTTCATAATTGTAAGTACTTTTCCAAGCAAGTCAAAGTGGATCTGGAGAGATGTCTTAACAGTCAAGAGTGCTTACTATTCTTGTAGAGGACCTGGGTTCAATTTTAGCATGGTGTCTCACAACCATCTGTAATCCAGCTCCAGGGGATTTGACTCTTCTGATCTGCACAGGCTCCTGCATGCATGTGGTACACATACATACATAGGCATTCATGTGAGTGTGTGCAAGTGGAGATGAGAGGACAATGTTGCAGAGTTTAGCTGTCCTTCTACCATTATGTTGGTCCCAGAGATCACACTCACATTGTTGGAATTGTTCAGCAAACACTCCAGTCACTGAGCTGTCTTCCTGGTGGTATTGGGACTAGAAGATCATAGTCTGCCACCATGTACAGCTCTCTTCCAGGTTTATTGTTTTTCTGATTCAGAAGAAATGTGAGGGGCAAGAAAGAGTTAACAATAGTTACCGGTTTTTGTTTCTTCTGACCTGAGGTGAATAGTACATATTTGAAGAAAAAGGAACTGACTGGACCAGGTAGTTTAGCTATCTACAGAGTTGTTAAAATGGAAAAGGCCTAGAATCAGAGTTTTGAAAATGGGACATGTTTTTTGTTTTTGTGGTCTGAGCACATCTGAAATATGCAGTGAATATTGTAGCAGACAACAGTAGTTTCAGGAAAGGGTATTTTTAAAATGAAGAGTTCAGTTTTGAACATAATAATTTTTCTTTTTGGCCTGGAGGTGGTGGAACATGCCAGCACGTGGGAAGCAGAAGCAGGTGGATCTCTGAGTTCAAGACCAGCCTGGTCTCCAGAGTGAGTTCCAGGACAGCCAGGATGGTTTCGCAGAGAAACCCTATCTCAAAAAAACAAAATATAATTTCAAATTAAAATAGAATTGCTTTATTTTCCCCATTTCCTCCCTCCACTTCTTAGGTATCATTCCTCCAAACCTTCCTGTCCCCCCCCACAGTTGATAGCCTTATATTGCTAAATAAATATGCATGTATATGTATGTATCCACAAATACATAAATACAGCCTGTTGTTGGACATGTTGGAATTATAAATGCCTATTAGGCATGTAAAGGGATGATTTTAAGAAAATCATTGAGGGGCCTGCTGTGGTGGCTCATGCCTTTAAGGAGGCAGAGGCATATTAAAGCCATGGGGGCTATATATAGTGAGACCCTGGCTCAAAGCAGGGAAGAATGAAGGAAGATAGGAATGGGTTCAAAAGAGAATGGATAATATTTAGGATAATATTTTTGCTTCAAAGATTAGATGTAATTTCTACTCTAGGAAAACATGGTGGTTAGGAATAAGTAAAACACTTGAAATAGCAAAAACAAGGCCCCATTAAGGGCCCACTTATGTGGGCATGGATGGACTGGGCCTACGGACCTAATTAACACAAAAGACAATTCATAGAAATCCTTATAAAATTTACATGGGGGGTCTTCATAGAGAGAAGGAAATTAAAAAAAAAAAAAAAAAAAGGTATGATGCTTCTTAGACCAAAGGTCAGCAAGCTTGTGAAGGAGTGACAGAACAAGGTATTAAGTCCCAGGATTGTTGCTATGAGACACATTGTTGCTAGGAAGCTACGGCTAGTGGAAGACCTGCTATTTTCAAAAGTTGGAGCCCAGTGAGGACGGCTGTCCTCCTGGGCTTTGTATGTGAGTGGCATCCCTCCCAAAGAATTGTTCTGTTGTTTGCAAGGTGTTAGCATTGAACTCAGGGCCTCACCCATGCTAGGCAGTTACTCAAGTGCTTTCCACTGAACAGTAGACTCCCAAAAGAACCTTTGGGGGGAAGACCCAAAACAACCAAAAATGTTTTGGTAACATTTTGTTTAAAATGTTTTATGGACTGTTGTTTGACACCTTCCTCCTCTTAGAGTCAGAGAAGTCGGTCCTGAGTGAGCAGAGGAAACAGCTCCTGCAGAAATACAAAGAAGAAAAGCAGCTTCAAAAGCTGAAAGAGCAACGAGAGAAAGCTAAGCGAGGTGTGTTCAAAGTGGGGCTCTACAGACCTGCTGCACCTGGCTTTCTCATCACAGACCAGAGGAGTGTGAAAGCCGAGCCCGAAAAGGTGTGTTTGTGATTTCAACTTAAAGCAGACTGACAATTCCTTTAACTCCGGAACAAAACAAATAGCTGCTTATGGGGAAGTTTCAATTTTAAAGACATGGAATAAATTTTGCCTGTTGTTGTTTGCTTTTTTTTTTTTTTTTTAATTGATCTTTTTTGTCTGTTTAAAGGCTTTTCCATACAATGGGCGTATTACAAGATCAAAGGCCAGAGAACACATGGAACACACTAAGGTATCATTGCGTAAAGATAATTGCTACTAAAATAACATATTGTACCATTTTCCACCTACAATCAGATGCAAACATAGTGATTTATTTACCTGAATTGAAAGTGTGAAAATTCGTGGTGACATAGAGCAGCAGTTTCTGGCTAGATGCCGAGGAAGTTTGCACTCACAGTACTCTTTGCATAAGCACCTCTTAATGTAATCCATCCCAGATTTCATCTTTATGCTGCTGTTTGTTTACTGTGCTGCTACTGTGCATTGCAAACTAACTGCATGCAATGCAGATCAGAGTGAGACAAGCACAGAGTGGGCTGAGGTACATTTCTGGGTCCTCTAAATACAGCAACAAATGACGGATTTGGAAGGAATTAAATATGTTAGGTGGGAATTGGAATGACTTTTTGTCAAGTAAGGAAGCTAAGTTTCATGTTTTTAACATAGTGGAGACACTGCCATGTTCCTCTGGGATACTTACTCTGGGTTTTCTGGAGCTTACTGTAGTAGGCCTAAAAATAAAATCAGAACATAACTGTATGGAAGATGGGAGATGGCAGAAAGAGTAGGCATTGAGCAGTGTTGGGAATCAGAGAGGCCAGGGATCTGTACAGATTAGACACACTATATCACTGAGCAAATGATTGCACCATAGTACACCAGCCACTCACTGTTCATGGCTCCTCATGAGGCTGAGACAGGGAATCAGCTTGCCAGTCTAGACAGCACAAGAAAGCCTCATCTCAGAGAAAGAAAACCACAGAAAATGAACGTTCTTAGTGTTTTCAGATTCTCAAATGAGCATATGGCATTGAACACAGAGCTCTACCTGCCTCTTTCCTGAGTGCTGGGATTAAAGGTGTGTGACAGCATGCCTTCCTGGCTTTGGTTTTTGTTTTTGCGGGAGTTTTTGTTGTTGTTGTTTTTTTTTTTTTTTTTTTTTAAGATAGGGTTTCATGTAGCCCAGACTCGTGAATCTCCCTATTGGTTGATGCTGGTCTTGAATCGCTGATTGTTTTGAGATCAACTTACAAGTTAAAAGTGTGTTTTGATTTATTATGCAGTTAAATAACAAAGTACTTAATTCTCTTCAAAGATTGACAGTAAGAATGTTCTTCAAGCAACACGATCTGGCCAAAAACAAACTTCTGAAAAGAAAATATTGGACAAAGAGAAAAAAGGTGGGGACATTAGCAGTGATGATGAACTTGGTGCTGCCAAAGGAATAATTTATGCATGACAAAAAACATCTGATTGTTTTTCCCAGTTGTGCAGCCCATGGTGTCGTCAGGGAAAGCGACTGGATCAGCTGCTACTCAGCGGACAAAACAGATGGCTCGAACAGTCTCGTCTACCACAAGAAAGCCAGTCACAAGAGCTGTTAATGGTAAGAGACTGTCCAAATGCACACACAGTAAGACACTTTATAAAAAACAAGAGCAGCCCCAAAAAAGACAATCACTGAAATATAGTGTGTTAATAAACAAACAAAAAAAATAATAAAAACAGATGCTGAAGTATCAAATTGGTAATGGAGTCATGGGTGAGGGCTGTGTGTAGGCTATATGTCCATATTGGGTAGCTTGCCCATTAAGCTAGACTGGCTGGTTGGTAAGCTCAGGGGACCGTAACATTACAGGAGCGCTGGGGACCAGACTTGGGCCTGGCATTAGTTACAGTAAGCACTTTGTTTGCCAAGTGAACTACTGCTCTGAACTGTTCTGTTTTGCTTTGTTTTTGAGATTTATTTCTATTTATGTGTGTGGATTTTACCTGCATGTATGTTTATGTATCTATCATATGTGTGCCTTGCTCCCACAGAAGCCGGAAGAGGTGATCTCTCCTGGTCAGAGTTAAGATGGTTAACTTCCATGTGGGTGCTGAGAGGAAGCAATGCTCTTAATTGCTGAGCCCTCTCCCCAGCTGCCTGACTGGTTTTTGGAGGAGGCTAGCTTGTACTGATGATCCTGTGAAGTTACCAATTAGCTGAGGCTAGCCTATAGTGGTGATCCTGTAAAGTTATAGGCTGCACAGCTGTTCTGGTTACTTGGTTAGTTTAGTGTTGGTGGTAAGATTTGTTGGTTTTCTGTTCTTTTTTTTGTTTGTTTGTTTTTCCATTATAATCAGTATGTATTTAGTAATCAGGAAAAAAGAAAGGAGACATACCTTTATTTTGAAAGTAGATGGTTTGTATTTGACAGGAAATTTCACTTCATTTTGTCCCGTTTTATAGTGTGTCTCTTGATGATCAAAGTTGAGGTGTATATTCCTATTTCTCCTTCCTCAGACTTTACCAAATGATCTAGTACTTTAATGTAGCTTTGCTTATCTGTTTTAAAATGGATATCTCACCTCATTTTTTTATTTTAGAGAATGAATCGGAAAGAGTAGCGCCAAGTAGAGGAAGACCTGCCAGGAAGGTGGAAGGCAAGCCTGACAAGGTAGAGTACTGGGTCTCTCATGTCTAAGTGCCTTGACATCTTGGTCCTTTCACAGCTGAAATGAGGCATGCAGACTTCTGAGGGCAAGCCTGCACACATGCTAAAACCCGTCACAAGGACTCACTGCCAACTAGTGGCTTAATCTAGCCCTGGGTTTTATAAGTAGGGGGGCATAATCTGATTAACAGAGAAAATGGAGAATAGGAAACACAGCTTGGGACTGTTTCACAGGAACTAGTGATAGGGTGAGATGTTTCTGTTTCACAGGAACTAGTGATTTTGGATTTAGCTAGAGTGGGTTTTGTCTGTGCTTCCAATTAGCTACATAATTAGAATTTATTTCCCATCTCTAACAGAATTTCCTGTACACAGTTGAGAATTCAGTAAGCTAAGAGTTTCCTAGTAGCATCTGGCAATGAAGTCCTCAAAGAACAGGACCTGGGCCTACAAAGATGGCTCAGCAGATAAAGGTGCTTGCTGCCAAGCCTGATGACTGTAACTTAATCCCCAGAGCCCACCTGGTGAGAGGAGAGAGCTGACTCCTGTAGGTTGTCCTCTGACCTCACACATAGAAATTAAAATGAAAACAAAAATTTTTTTATATTTTTTTATTTAAATTTGAAACAAGCTTGTTTTACATGTCAATCCCAGTTCCCTCACCCTCTCCTTCTCTCCTCCCCCCCCTCAACCCCTATCCCACCCCATCTCTGCTCCCCAAGGGGGGTGAGGCCTTCCATGGGGAGTCTTCAAAGTCTCATATCATTTGGAGCAGAGCCCAGGCCCTCCCCGATGTCTGCAATGCAACCATAAACTTAAAAAAAATCATGTTGTAGAGTAAGAAACCTGCCTAGAGCCTTACTCCATACTGATATAAACATAAATCCTCCATAGAGGTCTGGAGGAATGTCCCTTAGTCTAAATAAAAGCTGGGTCAAACCACTGAATTCAAAGAAAAAGGTTCTATGTATTCTATAAACCTTTGGCGCTGGATGGGGGGAGTAGCAGGGAGTCAGGTGTGGCAAGCTTGACTGAGCCAGCCCACATCAGCTCACCCATGATTTTGCCCCTGTCCTATCATTAATGTTCACCCCATGTTGGGTGCCAAAATGTAAATGGAGTTCTTAATTGGTCTAAGTAGTAAAGACCCCAAAATCATATATAGAGGAAAATGCTGAGAGATGAGAGAGGAGCAAACCACCACCACACCTTACCTCCTTAGTGTCTCAGCAGACACGAGAGTGAGCTCCTGTTTCTCTCCCTGCTTATATCCTGTTTCTGCCCAGCTACCTCACTTTCTGTCTGTACAGACCTCCAGACCTCTATGGTTAGTGGCAAGCTCTATTCTCTGACCTTCAGACAGGCTTTATTGGTACAGGGAATGGAGAGTGAATCTTTTTAAGCCAGCTGGGCCTTAAAGGAAGAGTTACTAAGATTGATTTTGTGGGGCCAGTGAGATGGCTCAGTGGGTAAAAGCACTTGTCAAACCTGATGACTTGAGTTTGATTCCCGATTCTACAAGTAGAAGAGAACCGAAGTATTATTTTTCCGAATGTTATCCTTAGTTTTTACTTTCCCTGACACACTGGTCTTTGAGATTCTTATCAGGGTTGAGTTTGAGTTCAGATCTTAATAAGTCAGAAACTTTTTTAAAATATGTAAATATCAAGTAACAACTAAACAGAGCCATTGCTCCAGCCCCCACAGTCCCAGGTGTGTGTGTGTGTGTGTGTGTGTGTGTGTGTGTGTGTATAGGTTAATTTGCAAAGGGCATAGTGTAGTCCTCTAGAATAGGAGTCATTCAATAAATACTAGATTTCTCATTGTAAAAGCCTTGCAATAATCCATGTAATTTTGATAAAAGTTTATTTGTGGGGGGGAGGGGAGCTGGAGAGATGGCTCAGACCGTAAGAGCACTGGCTGCTCTTCAAGAGGTCCTGATTTCAATTCCCAGCAACCACATGGCAGCTTACAACCATCTATAATGAGATCTAGTGCCCTCTTCTGGCTTGCAGGCATACATGCAGGCAGAAGACTGACACATAATACATAAATAAATCTTTTTTTTAAAAGTCTGTTTCGTTAGTTGGTTTTTACATTTTAGTTTTAGTATATTTTAATTTGAGAGTATCTATTTTTGTCTCAAATTATGCATGTAGATGCTCTCTTGCTGGCTTTTCCTGTTGCTATGATAAAATACATGACTAAAGCAACCTAAGGAGGAAAAGGTTCATTTTGACTCATTGTTCAAGGATGTAGTCAGTACATTGTAGTTGTGGAATCTTGAGGTTAATTGGTCCCATGTCATAAGCAGCAATGAATGCCTATGTCCAGCTCACCTTCTCCTTTTGGTTAAATTGATCAGAATGGTGCTGCCTATGATTAGGCTGGGTCTTCCTACCATATTTAGCTAAACATCACTCACAGGTGGGACCAGAAGTTGAATCTTGTTGAATTCCAATCAGTACAATCCATCACATTGTCAAGCTTGTTGCTGCTGCTGTTATTTGTGTGTTTCTGTGTTAATGATTGGGTGCATTCCCAGGAGAGAAATTAATTCCAACTCTATTCTGCTTATACCTAGGTCATTCCCTCTAAAGCTCGTAGTGAAGAAAGTCGTATGGCCCCACAGACCAGTGTAACAAGTAGAATGGATCTGGGTGGCGTCTTCCCAGAGATGGAGAGTGTACCTGAGACGCTTCCGGCCAAAGTGGAAGAAAGGAAGTCTTTTGCACCTTCACATTGTGTGTTTCAGCCACCGAGGGGTCTGAAGACCTATCAAGTGGCTCCTATGAGTCATAGAAGTGACAGCACTTTCTTGACGCCCAGTTGTGACCAGAGCCCTTTAAAACCAGAAGTGTAAGATATAAATAATCTCGAAGCACACACAAATACTAATGCACAAATCATCTTAATAATAAGCACTTTACTAGAAGGAAAAACAAATGCCTGTCTTACATTTCTACCTTTTTTTTTGGTTTGTTTTTTGTTTTCTGTACTATTTATAGTTAGTAAAGTATGCTAACTACTAATCACACAAAATAAGTTCTTTTGAGAAAAGTTCTTCAGAAGCCTACGGTAATGTCTTTGATAGTTTTGATATTTTTCATGATTTGTCTTCACCATGAATATTTTTTGCTTTTAAATATGTGGGTTAAATATAACCCTTAAATTATAATTAATTTATTTACTGTTGTAAAGATTTCTTTTTATATACAAGAGTGTTTTGTGTTCATGTATGCAGTGCCTGATCCCCTGAATTGGAGTTACAGGTGTTGTGATCAGCCATGTGGATTCTAGGAATTGGACCCACATTTTCTTCTAGAGCCACAGTGCTTGTAGCTTGAACCCTTTTTCCAGTTCCTTGGGTTTTTGGGGGTTTTTTTGTGTGTGGTGGGGGGCTGAGATAGCAGCCTAGGCCTCCTAGGTCCTGGGATTATAAGCATGTATCATTACCCTGGCTTGAAATAATTTCTTTTACAAAAGAAAAATTGTCATCATTAAATCAGTCCTGCCACCTTTTTTCCCTCAATCTTAGATTTTTAGTTCTCTCTCTCTCTCCCTCTCCCTCTCTCCCTCTCTCTCTCTCTCTCCCTCTCCCTCTCTCCCTCTCCCTCTCTCCCTCTCTCCCCCTCTCTCCGGTTTCTGTGGCCAGAAGCATCACATCTCCCTAGAGCTGGAGTCAGAGTAGTTCTGAGCTACCTGATGCGTGCTGAGAATTGTACTTGGGTCCTCAGCAGGAGCAATATGTCCTCCTAACCCATGAGCCATATGTCTAGCTCTTGCCTGCCTTCTTCCTCTAGTAACAGAAAATAATTTGTAAATGGGAAGTGGAGGGCCACTTGGAATCTTTAGAGGAAAAGGGGGGATTATAAAGTAGCCTTCTAAACACTAGGTGGCCTCATGTTATTAGGAATCATTCAGCAGCATCCATGGCTTTTTTTTGTTGTTTGTTTGTTTGTTTTAATCTCCTAAGAGTTTCAACATCTTTGACTCCTACTATAATTAGTTTAATAACAATGTCTATTCTCACTGTTTTAAATTTTCCTGCCCAGAATAAACATTTTTAAAGATACAAATCAAGGCTGGCTGGTATGTGCCCACAACTATCCAAATTGGTAATCCTAAAGAGAGGAATTTAGAGTTTAAGGCCAGTCTCCATTTCGAAGCAAGATATCAATCATGTCAAAACCAAACAAAAAGATCCCAGCTTCCATGGTACCAGACGTCTTTAGTAGCCTAACCCCCATCCCAGTGCTGGTATAACAGTGTGTCACCATGCCTGGATTGAAATTTACTAAATAAAAGCAACTCTGTGAGTTATGTAATAAGGCCTGCTCTTAAACAAAAGCATTTCACTCTATCTTTTTTTCTTTTAAAGCAACATAACTTTCAAATCCTTCCATTGTATATATGTGTACTTCATTTTTCATGAAGTATATCTTTGCTGTTACTTTTAGCACTACAACTCAAGATGCGGCAAATGAAATCTTGGTACAGAAATCTGTAACTTCTACCAACACAGCACAGCAAGAATCAAATAAGTTACGGAACGATTTGGATTCTCTAGCAGTCTGTAGTGAAGGTACCATGTTTTAATTAAGATGTCACTTCTCTGGCTTATGATCTTGAAGAACTTCCTGTAGAGCTCATTTTCACCATGTACTTCAGAAATAAGACCATGGCCTGTGGAAAGTGGAAATGTGGAGAAGCTGGGGACATCGCTCAGCCACTAAGCTCTGGAGCCTGAGGATGGAGTTAGATGTGGGGTGGGCAGGAGCTGGAGACTGGCACTGGGGAGGTGGGGACCCTGCAATTGGCCTGTCCCAGGCCCTACAGAGACCATTACAGAAAGTGCTCGAAGAACAGCACTTGAAAATGACTTCTGACCTCCACGTACACAGACATATAAATATTGACAACCATATGTGAGTGAAATAACAGTCTGAAAAAAATTTTTATAAAGTTCAACATTGATAAAACTGAAGGATGTTAAAAACATATCTTGCCAAACAGTGGTGGCATACACCTTTAATCCCAGCACTTGGGAGGCAGAGGCAGATGGATTTCTGTGAGTTTGAGGCCAGCTGGTTTATAGAGCGAGTGCCAGGACAGGCTCCAAAGCTACACAGAGAAACCCTGTCTTGAAAAGCCAAACAAAAACAAAACTTGTGAGGACTGTCATTTTAGGAATTGATTTTTAAATTAATGAGTAATGTTTTGTTTCTTGTCATAGAACATGGCTTAAATCAAAAGGAAGCGTCTACAAACTCCAGTTGCCCTTCGGTGGAAGGAGTTGCATCACTTGAAGTAGGTGAAGGCCAGGTGTCTCAGCCTCAGCATGATGTGCCATATTTCAGGTATTTCAGAATTTGCATTTGTGTCTAGATGTTAAACCCCAAGTTAAGGTGTTTAATGTTTAATGCATAAATATTTAATATGGTAACTGGATAGACGGCTGACTTTGGGTGATTTTCATTTTGCAATAGCCAGAACCTAATAAGGTTTCTGTTCCAAGAATAAGCAGATGTGTGAGGGAAGAGCGACTGTTCAGCCCCATAGTTTGACCCTTCCATGCAGGTGTTAACTTTTTGTGAATATTTTGAGAGGTAAATAGTGGATTTGAGAACAAATACAGACCTTTTAGCGTTTGAAAATGTAAAAATCTTGTACAATATATTGTTGTGTTTTCATTTAGTGGTAATTGTTGGTGACGTTCTGTTTTAGAACCTGAAAAACTCTTACGTGTGAGTGTGTGATACTAAGAACTGTCAGGGCTAAGCTATGACGCCTTCCGCATTGCTTCGGTCATTCTGTTTCTCTGTTTCTCCATTGAATGTAAGCAGCAGACCTTTCTCCCTGTCATTTCTTATTCTCCACTGCGGGGCATTAAGCCCAGGCCTTGTTTGTGCGGTCCTTGCTCTATCACTGAGCTACACCTCTAGAGATGTATCCCAGCACTCAGGATACTCAAATTTCAGGCTAGCCTTTGTTAGTTACATAGTGAAGTGAGATCCTATCTCAAAAGAAGAGGACTTCAAAACAGAAAACTGCCCTTGGGTTTTCTTAGTAGGCAGTTTGTGGAGTACTCTGCCCATCTGTCTCCCCATACCCTCTTGTTTGTTTAATCTCTTGAGTTGTGTTGATATTCTTTCGATTTTTTTTTTTTTTTAATGGTAAGATAACATCCTAGAACTTTGACTTTAAGTGCACTGTTACATTTACATTTCTGTTTGTTTTGTTTGTGGTAGGCTCATGCTATATTTTCCTGACTGCTAAACTCACTATATGAACCCAGAACCTAACTGGCCCAGAACTCACTCGCTATAGCAGTCGCCAATTTAGATTGATCCTCTCTCCTGTCTCTGGTGCCACCACACCCAGCTTACTTCCACTTTAGCCATTAGAATTGCTGTGAACGCAAGTGTGCAATTCAGTTCTCTCATGTATACCTAGATATAGGTTTGCTGGATCATAAGTGTTGGTTGCTCTGCACTCTGGGATGCCTGTATTAACACAAATTGAACTCCTAGGCCTAGGTCTCTCGGCCTTAGTATTAGTCACATTTTAAATTGTGTACTTCTTGTTTGGGGTCTTTCTGTACATTGTCAGGTATTTGGAGCATCCCTAGTCTATAGTGACAATCAAAAATGTCTCCAGCCAGGCTCAGTGGTATACACCTTTAATACCAGCAGAGGGAGGCAAAAGAGAGGAGGATCCGAGTTCAAGGCCATCTAGGGTTTTATAGTGACACCTTCTCATAAGAAAAGTCTCTGTGTGCATCATCAGATGTTCTCTGAGGAGCAAAATGGACCCAAATAAGTACTATCCAAGAGGGCTGGAGAAATGGCTCAGAGGTTAAGAGTACTGGCTACTCTTCCAAAGGACCTGAGTTCAATTCCCAGCAACCACATGGTAGCTCACAACCATCTATAATGAGATCTGGGGCCTCTTCTGACACATAGGTAAAACATTATATACATAATGAATAAATCTAAAAAGAAAGGTTATCCAATAGCTAGATTTTGTAAGGCCCTATCACATGGTGGAGTGGTTTGCTGTCTGTGTCTGCCCTCGTTTTCGCAGATGTGATCTCGCTTTGTAGCCTTGGCTGGCTGGACGTCACTGCGTGCACCATGCTGGCTCTCACTTGCACTGCTCTTCCTGCCTCTGCCTCCTCAAAGCCCATAACTGTAATCCTAGACTCCGCAGGTTTTAGCTTCATTGCTTGCGGCAGTCCTTAGTTCTGTGAAGAGTATATGAGTATGTAGTATACACCAAGGGATGTTGGACTCAGCCTCTGAACAAAGGGTAGAACAGATCAGAAGTGGTTGCTTGAAAAGTGGGTCTTGGCATCACCCATCCAATAATATAGACTTGAGGTACAGCAGAATGGACATACACAAGATATATGGTGATAGGGAATTCGTCTTTTGTAAGTTTTAATATATTATAGTTCATTGAATCCTTACACATAAGATCTTGATATTATACTTCATTTAATTCTTACACATAAAATCTTAAAAATAACTATTTTTCCTATTATTTTGTACCTTTGTTTTAAACCATCCTAGTCTTGTGTATTAAAGTGTCATAATGGTAAAATTGAACTAAGGTGACCACGCCTGTATAACTAAAATGGATGTCACAATTTTAGAAAAATCCTCCAGTCTGAAACTGACAAATTAACTTCACACTGCCTGGAGTGGGACAAGAAACTGGAACTGGACATTCCTGATGATGGTAAGAAAAGTACTTTCTTGGTTTTGTTTCTTTTTTGTTGGTGGTATTATATTGTTTTGTGTTTTAGAGAGGTTCTCCTAGCACGGGCTGGCCTAGAGCTCACTCTGTAGTTGAAGGGGAACTTGAGAGGTGGGAAGATGACTAGGGTTCGAGGGCTGGGCTCACAGGTGTGTCCAAACACACCTGACAATAAAAATGACGATGCTGTGTATTACAGTTTCCTTGTAGTAGGAGGAGGATTTCTTTTATGTGCTGAGCAAGTGCTTGACCAGCATGCTAGCTACATCCATAGCCCTTATTTCTCTTAATGTTGCATTCCTTTCCAAATTAAAATTCTAGTGTTCAACTTTGTAGTTTTAGGTTTACTCAAAGTTCCAAGAGTTGTTCAAGTTATGACCTCTAATATCTCTGTGCTAAAGAAGTATACAACTTTCGTGTATTTTGTTTTTATAATGTGACCTTGTACATAGTGGTGTTAACCTGACATTTCTTAGTTTTACAAATACATGTTCTGAATTACGATTTGTAAGTCAGTATGAAAACAAATTTTATTTATCAAAAGTTCTTAGTCCTACTTATTTAGAGAAGCCATTTAAAAAGTTAGCAGTATAATTAAAAAATTAGCAGTATGAGGTCCTGGGATACTTACGTACCTTGACTTGTTTGAGGTTGAATTTTCATAAAATAGAGAGGAAAGGGAATGCTATTAATGAGGCCATGTGTGATTGAGGCTGTTATTGGTACTTGAAGCAAGGAGCTAGTGCTCAGTATTTGTGGCAAAGTGTTTTGGATGGTTATTTCTTGTTTTTCCAATACGAATTTAATTCTGTAAGCTCTTGGGATTAGGGGTTAAGTCTCAGTTGGCTGGCTGGCTATAAAGTCCCGTTTTCATTTCTTATTCTGTAGCCAAAGACCTTATTCGCACAGCAGTTGGTCAAACAAGACTCCTCATTATGGAAAGGTTCAAACAGTTTGAAGGACTGGTGGACAACTGCGAATACAAACGAGGTGAAAAAGAGACTACCTGTTCAGATCTGGATGGATTTTGGGATATGGTTAGTTTTCAGGTATGTGTAGGTGTTCTCTACATTTGCTTCTAACATCACTAAATAGTAGTTTTTTTTTTTTTTTTTAGCTGCTTATGATGTAATAAGTGAGCTATCAGGAGACACCATGTAAGCTGCATTGTCTGCTCCCCCATGTTCTTAATAGTCTGTGATAATTCTACATGTGAGGCATGAGCCAGGGCAATTACTGTATTCAGTTGCGTGCCACGCATTGCTTTTAGAAATGATAAAAAGGGACAGAAAGAGCTGACCATGGTGGCACACACCTTGAATCCCAGGCAGAAGAGGCATGTGCTCTTGAGTTTGAGGCCAGTACTAGGACAGCCTGGGCTACACTGAGAAACCCTGCCTTCAAGACAAACCAGGCACAGAGAAAGAAGTGAATGGTTTCCTTAGTAGCCCTTAGATACACCGTTGACATTGTAATGTAAGCTGAGTGTGGAAGGAGGCAATGGTGAGGAGGCTGTGTGTTTGGGGGAAGATCATTTTGTGCCCTGCTGACTTGATTTCAGAAATGAGACTGTGAGGAGCTGAAGAAATGGACCAGAAGGTAAGAGCTCCTGCTCCTCTTGCAAAGGCCTAAGATTCTGTTCCCAGCACCTACATTAGGCAGCTCACAACTGCCTGTATGTACCTCTGGTTTCAAGGGGTCTGGTTCTCTATCTAATTGCAACCCAATGTATACGCATGCACACACGTATAACATAGACATGTAATAAAATCATTCTCGTTTGTTTCGTTTGAGATGGAGTTTCTCTATGTAGCTTTGGCTGTACAGACTGGCCTGGAACTCACAGAATCTGCTTGCATCTGCCTCCTGAGTGCTGTGATTAAAGGCCACCACCGCCCAACTAAAATCATTAAGGAAGGAAAAAGAAGCAAGCAGATGAGCTGTGTGTGGTGGTTTTAATCTCATCATTCTGGGAACTATTTCTAAAGAATTTGCTTTCAGAATTACAAACAATATACAGAAGAATTTAAACCATACAGAAGGATGTACATAGGTTATGTGCAAATACCACCATTTTATGAAAGAAAGGGCTTTTACTTCTGTAGTAAATGTGGTGCTGAGGCCCTAAACTGAAACCTTCTCTCTGCCAGGCAAGCATTTGGTCGTTGAGGTATAACCTTCCTCTTCTCTGGATTTAGATTTGTAGCATTTATTCCCCTGCCTTCTTCTCCCCCTAACAAAGTTGAGGAAGAAAGCATGAAATGAATAACTGAATTTAGAAAGTTGGGAAAAGACCAGAACAGATGCCTTAGCACAGAATAAAAACAGATGGTGATTAATGAAATGGTGAGCTCATACAATGTCAGCATCATATTCCATCAGGCATTTAGCAGTTAAAGCAGTAAGGTAACAGCTAAGCAGACACTCACAAAACCCTGACAGTGAATGCTGGGACCAAGCAGCAAGGCATGGAGCAACAGGAACTATGTCATTGCTGGTGACAATGCCAATGACAAGTCCAGACTAGAAGACCATTTGGTGGTCCTGGCAAAACTAAACACACTCTGACTCTGGTCACTTATGATTTGTGTGCACTGCTGAGAGCAACACCATTTGTATTTGTCAACACCGGGGGAAAAAAACAGGATGTCCCTTAATGGGGTAATTGATAAGTGTTTAAAAGATGCTGTTTGTATTATATACTGAGGAAACGATGGTAGTGAGGCTATCTTTTCTAGCATCACAGTGATCAAAAATAGTTTGAGAGTTGCTCATCTATCACATCCTTTCTGTAGGTTCTAAAGGGCTCTTTGATTGAACACAGTAAGTTGGATAACCCCAGCATTTGGGAGGTAGAGGTAGGGGATGGTGAGTTCAAGTATGTCCTGCACTGTGCAACAAGATGTGGGTCATCTTGAATTAATGTAAGACCCTGCCCCCAGCTGGGAGTCGGTGGCTCATGCCTTTAATCCCAGCACTCTGGAGGCAGAGGCATGCAAATCTCTGAGTTTGAGGCTAGCCTGGTCTACAGAGAGAGTTCCAGGACAGGCTCCAAAGCCACAGAGAAACCCTGTCTCCCTGTCTCAAAAATCCTGCCTTCCCTACACACAGGAGTTTGTTTGTTTTTTTTGTTTGTTTGTTTGTTTTTAATTTATGTGCATTGGTGTGAAGGTGTCAGATCCCCTGGAGCTGCCATGTGGGTGCTGGAAATTGAACCCAGGTCCTTTGGAAGAACAGCTGGTATTCTTAACCACTAATCCTCTCTCCAGCCTCTCACACAGGATTTAAAGTTAAATAACTAACGAGTTCTGAGTCACCATTTTCAATTTATTTAACATAGTCATTTGATAGTCATAAAATAGCAATTTTAACATAGCCTTAATAGGATGAACTTGGGTTTTTATTAACAGGTAGATGATGTAAACCAAAAATTCAACAACCTGATCAAACTTGAGGAAGCTGGATGGAGAAACAATAATAATCCAACCAAAAAAGTCATCCGGGTAGGTTTGTGCATTTCCTACCCAAATTTCTAGCATAGATTCTTGTTTTTAAAAATAACTTTTATTTATGTGGGTGGGTAGGCGTGGTCCACTTGTTCCATGGAGTACATGTGGAGGTCAGAGGACCACTTGGAGGCATTGTTTCATCTTTCTTCTTCCTTCTTTTTGTGTGTGTGTGTGTGTGTGTGTGTTTCCTTTTCCTTTCTGTAACTGTGCTGGCTGTCCTGGAACTCACTCTGTAGACACGAGGCTGACCTTGAATTCAGAGATCCACCTGCCTCTGCCTCCCAAAGTGCTGGGATTAAAGGCATGCACTACCAACTCCCAACAGCATTGGTTCTTGTATGGTACAAGTTTTGAAAATACTTAGCTTTGGGTTTGTTGTTTCACAAACTAAATTTCATACATTGCTTATTACATTCTGATTGCCTTTGAGGGAAAAAACAAGGATGTAATCAACAGGAAGTGTAAGATGTTTACTTCTAAAGAGAAGAAATAAAAGATGTGTCTAGGTGACTTTCACATTCCCAGATAGTGGGTAGATTGGCATGAGTTTGTTCTGATGGCTGCACCTACATTGTTGACAAGTGTGGTATGGCATGATTGTAATACCAACTCTTGGACTGAGGCAGAATGGTTTCCATGAGTTCAAGGTCAAACATGGTCTATGTTGCAAGTTTCAGGACAGCCAGGGCTGCATAGCATGACCGTGTCTTACAAAAAAAGCCAAAACTCTTATATTTATAGATTTCTTTGTGATTGCAATAGCAGTAGATAACTCATGTTTTGTTTATGATAAATTCCAAGTAGTGCCATGTTAAGCTTTATAGAAGTCCCTTTAGATGGGTGCTATATCCATAGTTTAATGGTCTAAATCCCCAAGACTCCAAAAGACTAAATCATTTGCTCAAGATAGTGCTGGATTTCATTCCTGGCTTTCATATTCTATATTCCGTGCTCTTACTGGGCAGACCACACCCCCCCTCACTGTTTACATGCTTTCTGTGTGACACGCTGTAGAATGATAAGGTTTTGCATATTCTTCACTATGCTTATAAGGTTTTCTGTTTTTCTTTTAAACATGCTTTATTAATCTAGTAAGAGCACTTGTTGCTTTCTTGTGCACACAAACAGGGTATCACATAAGAGTAGTAGTTCTGTCTGTGACCACCAGATGTCTCTCTCCTCCTACTTTGTTTTAGCCTATTAGTTTGGTTGGTTGGGGAGACCTTTATATTCTTGGGATCATCCTAGGACAGTGTGTGGACAAGTGCTTTATATCTGAGCTATACTCCAAGCCCTTAAGGCTACTGTTAATCAAATAAAACTAATCTTGTACCTATACTGTGATAACAACCTTTATCTCCTACACATCTCCCTCTCAGTTTGTCAGTCATATTTTCTATTACTCCTAGAATATGTTCAATATCTAACCTTGATTATACTGAAACAACCAGCCTGTTCACACATCTTATGTATATCCCACCCCTTCAGCTCTTCTCAGTCACAAAACCTGAAAAGCAAAAGGAACTCTGCTCAAGCTCAAGTTCTGCACATCATTGTCTCAGTGCATCTGTAGTGAAACCAATTCCATGAACTTTTTCTGTCTTGGAAGGATGGCATTGCCGTGTTTTTCAGGTGTATGTCTTATAGTTCTATGGGTTTTGTTGAGATCAGGTCTCTAGTCCACACTATGTGTAATCCTCTTCCTTTAGCCTCCTAAATGCTCAGATTGCAGATGCCAGCCACTACTCTTGGGTTCTGCTCCAATATTCTTTCTGAATGTTTCACTTGTATGCATGTGTATGGATGATTGTGGGCTACCCTGTGGTGCTCTTAACCACTGAGCCACCTCTCTAGCCCGTTCTCCCCCGTTTCTGTTATACATACTTCTTCCCTATGCGCACCCAGTAGATTTTAAGTCCTCTCAATTTTACTTTAAATATTTGTCACTGCTCTAGAGGCAGTGGGACCTGGGAGATTGGAGTTGATAAAAGAGGCAGATTAAAGTCTCATGCAACAGCCAACTTTTTCACAGCTTTAAACAGTTTATTCTCTAAAGGTTAAGAACAGTCACCTGAGTAAAGTTCTCCTGAATTCAAGTTGTATACAATCACAATGACAAGCCACACGTACCAAAAACATATTTTCTATAGAGGCACATAAAGGACAGTTTGAACATTTATAGCAACAGCAAACAATAATGAGAAATGTGAAGTAAACTCACTCCTATCGGCAGTACCTGGGAGGAGCATGAAAACACATTCCCAGAACAATTCCATGTTTTAAAGAAACTGATGTCACAAGAGTGTTCACTAAGGTTTTCCTCACTCCATTCCTGGACTGTATTCCAACACAGTTTTCTTCCTGGCTTTTATTTTTAGACAGGGAAGTTCCAGGCCATCCTGTGAGGTTCTTAACCACAATAAAAGTTGAACATTTTTTTATGGATTTTTTTATAAGTTGTCTTAGTGAAGAGACACCATAAATAACCAAGGCGACTCACATAAAAAAGCATTTAATGGGAGCCTGCTTACACCTTTAGAAAGATAGTCTGTGATCATCATGGAGGGAAGCAGATGGGCAAGGTGCTGAGCAGTAGCTGAGAGCTTTACATCCATAGGCAGCAGGAAGAGAGTGACAGAGAGCCCAGTGTGGTTTTATGAAACCTCAAAGTCACCCACCCCAGTGACACTCCTGCTTCAGCAAGTCACGCATGTTTCAGCAGGGCCACATCTAATTCTGCCCAAATAGTTCCACTGACTGGGGATCAACCATTCGAGTGTTTGAGCCTCTGGTGGTCATTTTCATTCAAACCGCACCATACAAGGTGATGCTTAGTTGGTGTGGTGATGCCTGTCTTTAATCTCAGCTGGTCCTGAGGTTGAAGCAGGTGTGCATTCAAGACCAACTGGGACAACTGTGTCTCAAAATAAGTTATAAGGGCTAACGACTTCACTGGTGGAAACAATTTCCTGCCATTTACAGAGCTCTGGGTTCAGTCCTCAATACCAAAGGAATAGGATGGTAATTTCACCTTTAATTACAACTATTTCTCTTTGCAGAAAAAAACTGTGCCTGTTAGAACTAACAAAGCAAAACAGGATGATGATGGGAGAGTGGCAGCTAGAAATCGTCTAGCCGCCATAAAAAATGCAATGAAAGAGAGACTGAAGGAGGAAGAACGTGCCCATGTGGCAACTATGGGAACGCCAAAGAAAGCTGAGACAATAGTGTTTGATGCTGGCTTTTTCCGAATTGAGAGTCCTGTTAAATCGTTTTCAGGTTTGTGATTTTGCACAGGCTTAAGAGAAATATTTGGGCCAAATGAGGGCTTGTATGAAAGGTGAGAAATAGTTTCTACGTGAAAAGACGAAAGTGTGCTGATTTCTAGAGAACGGACTATGCTAGCAAACCCACATGCGAATCAACATTTTGAGAGGCATTTGTGATCAGATTGGTTTGTGCATGATATGTCTTTTAAGATGATGTTTGTATTTTCCAAGTGATTACATAGCTGCTCCTGCCATGCAGTCCCATAGTCTGTAAGGTCTGTGACAAGTTAGATTAGAATTAAGATGCAAAAGAAATTGAACCTCCACTTTTATGCTTTCATGAGCTGTTTAGCTGACTGCTGCCTTTGCACATGAGAGACTGAGCTACTTCAGTGGAAATCTGTATATCCCTGCACTTCATTTACTGTTTGTTGAGATTCTTGATCAAACTCTACTTTACCTAAGCTAGGCAAGCACTTGTCCATTGAGTGATAGCCTCCCTTTTTCAAATTTCCCAGGTTATCCTTGAATTCAGGCCTAGAACTTGCCCTAATCCTCTTAGCCCTGCCTTAGCATCTGGGGAGTCTGGGGTGTCAGACTCCCACTCACTTGAATGAGATCATTCTCTTACCTCCTGCTAGCTGGCACCAGCCATTCAAATGCCTGCCATATGGGAAAAGGCTGATTGTCCCAACAATTTGTCAGTAGTCACTTATTTCCGGGTACTAACTCCCCACTTTTTTTTTTTTTTTTGGCTATATCTGTACAGCAGGGTACAAACTGTGTCTCATCTTTTCCAGGAAATTCTCAGCTGTACAAAATAATCAAAGGAACTTGTTATAGTCTTCCAACTGAGGTTTTATTTTTGTTTTGTGTTTTTAGGACAAGGTTTCTCTGTGTAGCCTTGGCTGTTGTGATACTCTCTCTGTAATCCCAAGTGCTGGGATTAAAGGCATGTGTGACCTTGCCTGGCTGGGTGGATACTCTTGATCCAAACATTCATTTGAGTTAGCGAAGTAGTTCACTAATTTCATCATACTTTTGAAAGTATTCTTTTTTTTTTTCTTTAATGTGTGGGCCTTTTTATTTTTAAGAATATATATATATATATATATATATATATATATATATATATATATTAGCCACCATGTGGTTGCTGAGAATTGAACTCAGGATGTCTGGAAGGGCAGCTAGTGCTCTTAATCCCTGAGCAATCTCTCGAGCTCCTTCTCAAATATACTTACTATTGTGTATTGTCAGAGTTGCACCTTTTTTTATGTTTAAGTTTTAGTGTTGTATGTATATAGATGATTTGCCTGCACTTTGTCTGTACTATGTGTGTGCTTGGTACCTGCAGAAGCCAGAAGAGAGCATCAGATTCCCCAGGGCCTGGAGTTACAGCTGTTATGAAACACCGTGAGGTGCTGGGAATCAAACCTGGTCCCTGTAGAAGAGCAATTAGTGTTCTTAACTACTGAATCATCTCCCCAGACCAGGTCTATAACATTATAGGCATGGGATATCTAAGGGACATAATCTAATACGGTAGTTAAAAAGAGTAGTCCCTAGCACTTGACTTAAATGTTAACAAGAGAAGGCATAGTTAATAGGATTTGCATTGCCTTTCTGAATGAAAAGTGAATGAAAGGACTTTTGCTATGGAGGTTTTTTCTTTTTCTAGCACTTTCTTCTGAACGTCGTTCTCAGAGATTTGGAGCACTTACGTCTGCCAGCAGAGTCATGCCTGAGAGCAGGGTTGCAGGGGACCATCAGAGACAAAGGATATCATCACTGGAGAATCCTGAACCTCAGAGCAGCCAAAGTGAACGTGTCAATAAGACATTGTTTTCACATATTCTTGAAAGCAGGTATTTCCTTAATGTGCATTACAAGTTTAATAGTACTGATATTAACTGTCATTTCACATGGTTAAGCTGTTAAGATGTGACAGACATGTTTCCAATTAAATCTCGCATATGACCTGTAATATGTAGGCAAGACATGCATGCTCTTCTCTAACAGGAAGCAGACTTACGATTTGAGGTTGGAAGAAGGTGTGGTGGTGGTAATCCTGGCCACTCAGGAAACTGAGGTGGAGGAATGATTTAACCAGGGGTTTGAGACCAGCCATATCAAAACACTGCCTGTATTAAACAAAAGAAAGCGGAAAGATTGGAATTGATAAGTGGTCATTTTTAGATTGGCAAAATGTATGGTGCAGTACACCAGAGAGAAAAGCCATGTGATGTCCTCTAGTGCTTGCCAAGACCAAAACCAACAACATAATGGCCAGCTGGGAAAACTTGGGACAGGTTAGTTAACTGAGCTTCACTCTCCTCATCTTGAGAGGCACATATTTCCATACCAGTCTATATAGGAAGTACCCATGTGTGCAGATGACCTAGACATCACTTTAGGCTAACCTATCCTTTACAGCAGCCATGTCAGGTGTACTGAGTGAGGAATGTTAACTAGGCCCATTCTTCATACAGGATCACCTATCCACAAATGCATAGAAGAACCTAAACTGTCCCTATTAATGGTTCATAAATGCTAGAACATCTGATGGGGGAAAGGGATTTTTAAACAAGTAGATAAAATTGCAATCTGATGTCTGGACAACATTGTTGGGCTTACTAATTAATCTGAAGTTTGGAAAGTGGTAAGCACTCATCATTGCTAACAGTATCACTAAGGCATGGAGTGCAGAGAGGCAGGCCCTGTGAGTTAAAATAGGAGAAGCACATGAAAATTCTTAGCTGTTTTATAAACTTTAAATTTCTGATATACACCAAAGCATTTTTTTATCACTTAGGGCTTCAAAAATGCTTTTGGTATTGTAAAAATCTGTTTTGTAAAGCATCAACTTCTTATCATGCTACTTTGTGTAGCTTATGGTTTATGATCTGTATTAGAAAGACAAGTATTTGTCGCCCCAAAATGAATCTGGGGCCAGCAAGATGGCTCAGTGAATAAAGGTGCTTCTTTGCAAGCCTGGTGCATGAGTTAAATTGCTACAAACATTGTAAAGGAGAAAAGAGCTCACTGCTGTGAGTCACACTGACCTACAGTGTGCAGTGTGACTTCACACACACACACACACACAGTTCTTTGTTTTAATGTTCAATTTCAAGTACCTTTCAGGAAGGCATCTTAAACAACTTTGCAATAAGTTGTTCTTTAAGATTCATTTTCACGCCAGCAGTGGCGGTGGCAGCACACGCCTTTAGTCCAGGATTCCGGAGGCACAGGCACGCAGATCTCTAAGTTCTGAGTTTGAGGACAACCTGGTCTACAGAACAAGTTCCAAGACAAGCTACACGGAGAAACCTTGCCTTGAAAAACCAAAAAAAGGGGAGGGGGCTCAGATTTATTTATGTGTATGTACACATGTATGCTACATATGTGAGGGTACCCATAGAGTCCAGAAGATGATTTTAGGTTTCCTGGAGCCTTAGTTACAAGCAATTGTAAACTGACCAACATGGAAGCCAAACTCTTATCCTCTGTAAGAACAGCAAACTCCATCTCTCCACAAGAGAATTGTTGTTGTTGTTGTTGTTAAGGTTTTTTTTTGAGACAGGGCTTGTCTGTGTAATAACTCTGGCTGTCCTGCAACTTGCTTAGTAGACCAGGCTATCCTTGAACTCACAGATATCTGCCTGCCTCAGCCTCCCAAGTGCTGGGACTAAAGGTATGTGCTACCACCACTCTGTGAGAATATTTTTAAAGCAAACTTTGAAGAGGTTGAAATTAACATTTTGTTTATTCACTTTGAATGTGTAGATTCATGCATGTATGTGCCATGATATGTGGAGGCCAGAGGATAACAACTTTTCAGGGATCAGTTCTCTCCTCCCAACATGGTCCAGGGGTTGGACTCAGGTCATCAGGCTTGGTGGCAGGGAACCATCTTGTGGGTCCCCAAAGAGACTATGACAGACAAAATTTTTAAATTTGTTTTTAATAACATACAAAAGAATGAGTTTTGTTATGACATTCTTGGGTGTGTGTGTGTGCGCACACCTGAGCACTGGGATTAACATAGTACATGCTAGGCAAGTACTCTCCAACCCTATGTTTTTTTTTTTTAATTACATTTTTATTTATATATGTTGTGCCTGAATGTTGGCACATGCATACCCAGATCTGATCTAAAGTTTATGATTAGAATATATTGAATTGTACTATTAAATAAATGTAGGAGACTTGCAGGCATTATGGCATGTCCCAGCACTTGGGAGCCAACCTGCGTTACATACATAAACGAGCAGTTTTCCCACCAGCCTGGTCCTACAGCCACGTCAGCCCCAAATAACACACAGAGACACTGTATTAGATATGAAACTTTTGCCCTGCTAGTAGTATTTCTTATTGGCTAACTCTATCTTAAATATTAACTCATTTCTATTAATCTAATGTTTCCATGTGGTCTTATCTTACCTGAGAGAGGGTCCAGACTTCTCTCAAGTCCTTACATCTTGACTATCCTCCACTACATCTCCCAGAATCCTTCTTGTCTCCTAATCCTGCCTATCTTGCCTTCCTATTTGCCAACAATGCTTTATTCATTAACCAATGAGAGAAACATATTTACAGAATGATATCTCCCATTAAAATATCAAGACTCTTTTACACAAAACAAATAGGTTACACAGTAATTTAGTTGGCTTTGCTTCAGAAGTCAGCCTCATCTTGACCTTTCCCTAGGTTATGTGGCTCTGAGTTTGGCCGTGATTCAGCATTGCAGGCGAAGCCATATTAGCCTGAGTGATTGGCATGGGAAGGGACATGTGTTCAGGGGAAGAACACATCTTGCAATAACTGTAATCTGGTCTGTACAGATCAGGCAGGCCCCTGGGCCAGGCTCTACTCTGACCTCAGTATTCAGACTAGCGCCCTGCATGAAGGATGGGCTCAAAACCCAGGTCGAATGACTATGACATGCTTAACTATTGGTGTATGACCACTGTTTGTTTCAGGTCCAGCAGAGTAGAAGACACTTCGTGTCCTAGAGAGCAGGATTCAAGTGCCAGAGACCATGTAAGTCCTTCCTATTCTGGAATGGCAGGAGCTTGCCAAGGGTGTCATCTGTTTATGTCAGACAGGAAGTCACTCAAAGAAAGGAAGAAAAAGTAACAAAACTTCCATTGGAAGGCTAGGTGAATCAATGCAAAGTCATCATGCTCATCTGAATGGCCCTTGAGTTCCTTGAAACATAGTCTCTTTGTATTCTTCAGCAGCATGAATATAGAGCCAGTGGATTGGATCAAGGGTCCACACTCTTCAGCCTCTTTTAAATATGTTCTAATTATTTTATATATAAATTTTTTGCCTGGATGTGGATATCTATGTGCTGTGTACATGTAGTGCCTGAAGGGTAAGAAATGGGTGTCACACCTTCTGGACGTGGAATTATAGAAAGTTGTGAGCTTCCATGTAGGTCCTGGGAATCAAACTTGGATCCTCTGGAAGAGCAGCCAGTGCTCTTAACCTTTGAGCCATGCCTTGCTCTGGCCTCTGTGTTTTGCACTGAACTTTATGATAACGGTAGCTATACCCATCTGTGTGTCAGGTCTGCCTTCTTTTCCTGTGTAGACCTAGCAGGCTTGAATTGGAACCCTCTTACTCCAGCATCCTGAGTAGCACTATAGTCTGGTGCCACCAGGTCCAGTTTGCTCTTATAATTTACTTTCCTTTCACAAAAACATTGGCCAATCTTTGAGCTGAATATAGGTGCTTGCGGAGAAGCTTACTGTCGTTCCTATTTGTTCTTTGTGATGCGTGCAATACAAGACAGTAGGATTCATAGTATTCTTTAGACTTTTTGTGTGGTTTGTTGTTGATGTTGTCACTGTTTTATAGCCCTGGCTGACCTTGAACTCACAAAGATGTGCCTATCTTTGCTCTGCCTCCTGAAGTTCTTAGATTAAAGGCATGTGCTACCACCTGGCATTTTTTAGACTTTTAAATATGTCAGCCTTCTGCTTTTCTTATATTTCATAGCAGTAACACTTTTTAAAATTTGTTCCAATTATGTGTAATTGGAATCGATGATGCCCATTTTGACCTCCAGGATGTGAATGAGATAAATGTCAAGATGGATTGTTTCCCCGATGAAATGATGGATTTGTCTATCCCTGCTGTTGGAGTGACGGGTGATGATAAGCAGAAGGAAGCACTTTCTGGTGTGGAAGGCATGGAAATATCCTCTAAAGTCCCCTCCCAAGATGTGCTGATGAGTAATCCTGAGAAAAACTCCCCCTCACGAAGTACCTCCTCTCAGGAAGAAGCCGAAGTGTCCCAGCCAGGTAAAATTTTCTCAGATGTGGTGAAGCCTGGATGAAACATAACTTAGATGAAGGTGTGATTGTCATAGAATTCTGAGAACCAGTTTCTTATGATGAAAGTCAAGATGTTAGAAGCTCACTTTAAATATCATATAAACTAGTTTCAAAACACTGTTCTTCAACAAGGTGTGGTGGGCCATACTTATAATTCTAGCAAAAGAGAAGCAGAGACAGGAGGCTTACTTCTAGTTCAGTGCCAGCTTGTCTTACAAGGTGTTCCATGCCAGCAAGAGCAATACAGTGAGACTCTGTCTCAAAACAACATCCAAAGAGAGAGTATGCTGCTTCTAACCCGAGGCCTGAGAGACAAGTGCTAATCCACACTGGAGATGGTGGGCATCTGGTATTAGACTTGTTTGGGGGTCCTCACAGTTAGAAAAATGCCTTTAGTTCTCTTCTTCAGCCCATTATCCCCAAAATTGTCTTCTATCTACTGCCTTGTGATTGTTCTGTAAAAGGGACTGGGTCTCACATTTGTGTTAAGGTAGAATGAGGGCCTGGTCTCCTGCTGTCCTCAGTCTGCTGGAGACTAAGGTTAAGTGTTGGCGCTGTGCAGACATTTCATGTCTTCACCTAGACTTCTTTTGCATGAGACATGATCTCACTATGTAGCCCTGGCTGTCCAGAACCTCATGTAGATGTGCCTACCCCTTAGGAGTGCCAGGGTTGGAGCTGTATGCCTCCACACTGGCCTCTGTGTTTTTCTGCAACATTTGGGGGGGGGGGAACCTTTAATATTATAAGTGTAGTGCTTTCTTGGAAAGGACCCTTATACTCTTTTTGTTTTTGAGACAGAATTTCTCTGTGTAGCCCTGTTTGTCCTATAACTTGCTTTATAAACCATGCTGGCCTCAAACTCAAGAGATCACCTGCCTCTGCTTCCCGAGTGCTGAGATTAAATGTGTTCATCACCACTGCCTGGCAACCCTTATACTTAAAAGAATTTTACACAGCAATCTAATTGCATTAAAACATGATATAGACAGGCATGGTTTTGTTTTAGCATTTAATTGTAGTTTTTTCTATCTTTTAAAGCTTTGCCCATTTGTAACAACCCTTGACCAAAAGAATATTCTTTAAAAATTATTTCCCCTTGTTTTTCAGTACCATTACATAGACGGCTCAATTCTGAACATTGCCTTCTTGATCCAGTAAGTTTTCCTCTTAATTTAGCAAGTTTCTATATATATATATTCCAGATTTGTACAACTGTAAAGTTTTTGTGATTTTCTTATTTATGGTTACTGTGTGGGTGCCACAGCTTGTGTATGGAAGTCAGAGAACAACTTTCAGGAGTTAGTTCTCTCCTTCTGTTGGTGTTTCCAGGGGTGAAACCCAGGTTGTCAGCCCCTTTGCCTGCTGAGACCTGTCAACAAACCTGGTTTGGTTGGTTTCAAAATAGGATCTTGTTGTGAAGACCAAGCTAGCCTCTAACTCTCCCTCTCTGGTATTGAGATTACAATTTCTTATATAAAATGAAAATTGCTCGCTTTTCATCTTGTGTGCAAGATTTAAAATGTATGTCTTGCTATTACTTGTGTGTGTGTGTGTGTGTGTGTGTGTGTGTGTGTGTGTGTGTGTGTGTGTGTTGAATTGTATACATTATCTAATGTTCTAAAGTGGGAAAGGGCTGGAGAGCACAGCTGCTGCCCAGAGCACCGGGGTTCAGGCCCCAGCACCCCATGCAGCTCACAACCATCAGAAACTATAGTACACATAAAATACATACATTTTAACATTTTTAATTGAGAAAGGGCTTTCACACTTACATACTCTTGTATGACATATATTTTGCTATTCAAATCTGATAGGACAAATTGGATGAAAATTTATCTAATGGTTGGCTTGAATTCTTCCAGATGTTTCTAAGTAATGAAAATTTTTTTATAATAAAGTATGAAAAAAAGGACGCCTGTCTGTAATCCCAGCACTCAGAAGGTAGAGGCAGAAGGAGTTCTGCGAGTTCTAGGATAGCCAGGACTACCAAAAAAACAAACAAGCAAACAAACAAAAAAAGATGAGGCTGCTGCTTCTCTAAAATGCACAGAGCTCATGGGTAGTACCTGTCCCATCTCTGTCCTCCTTGGCTATTTTCACCCTAACCGTTTGGATTTATGCTCTGCTGTGTTGTTTTTAAGCTGCAGACTTTTACTTTTGGTAATCTCTTACTTGTAAGTTGAGTCCACACATTATTTAGCCCTTCTGAAATCTTCCTATAACGGTCTTCTTCTCTCCCACATTAATTTAATGTAGACATGGGTTTATGGGCATACCATACATAATGTATATATTTAGTTTCTCACTAAGAGCACAATATAAACTTGTTATTTCTAAAGTACACCATCATTTCATAAATCTGGTTCTGTAACTATAAACTCATTCACTTCCTGACTGATGCTCACTCGTATTGACGGTATTGACATGAGCATCATAGTTCTCTTTCTACTGAGTGGATAGTGACCGTTAGCCTACCTCTAGGCCATCTTACTTCCTGTCTGTCCATACAGACCTCCTGACCTCTGGTTAGCTAGTGGCAAGCTCCACCCTCTGATCTTCAGACAAGCTTTATTTGTACAAGCAAGATATCTCCACGTAACACCACTGGCTTACTGACTTTCCATGAAAGGTTGCAGCACCAGCTGCTACAGTGAACCAGGAAATGGCTTTGGTTTGCTAATCTTGAATATTAGGCTATAAGAAATTCAGATGTGCCAAGCCTAACCACCCAGACTCAATCTTCAGAATTCACCTGATGGAAGGAATAAACCAATTCCTGCAAGTTGTTCTGTGACCTCCTTGCTCTTGTGTGTATACCCTTGCATGCACTCAGTAAGCAAATATAAAAAATAAACAAGAAATCCAGTAAAGCAAATGTAGACTTGAGTAGCAGCAGATACATTTATTCCCTAAGCCAATGAATACTAGGGCATCTTTGTCTCGACTTTTGTTATCTTGAAAATATACTGTCTTTGGTTAGGCCCTGTGCTGCCCTATGTCTCAGGAGAAGAATTGTGTCACTATCAACATTCTTGGCCTCACCTTCCTTACTCATAAACTACAACTTAGATCAGAGACTTCAGCAACATAAGACTAATTTGTATAGTGGACCTGATTTAATTGTATTCTTGGGCCTTATCTCTAATTAGGTCTCAATATAAAGTAAGACTGAAATTTACTGTTTTTGACATTTGTAATATGATTAGAGGTGCTTTGAAGCTATATGTTGTCTCACTGAATTTTAGTACTTGATACTTATTCTATGTTTTTTTTTTTTTCCATTTCCATAAAGATACTTAAGTCCACCTATTAGGCTCAAATTAATACTTGCCAAATAGCATCATTTGAAACTGAAGTAGGGCTTGATTTGGGCAATTTAAAAGGTCTTTGTAGAATCACACTATGGTAGAAGACCCATAAGTGCTGTTACGTGGGTTAGGATTTGTGGAATCTGCATAGGTAGCTTAAGATGGCTTTAATTCAACCTACATATGCCATAAAAGTCCATTCACACATTAATCATCTTTTTAAGTAAAATTCATAGCATGCCTTTTAATTAAAGGCTATAGTGGCACACCCCTTTAATTCCAGCACTCAGGAGGCAGAAGCAGGCGGGTCTCTGAGTTCAAGGCCAGTCTGGTCTACAGAGCAAGTTCCAGGACAGTCAGGGCTGCACAGAGAAACCCTGTGTGGAAAAATAAAACAAATTAAAAAAAAAAAAAAAAAAGCGCTTTACATTAGGTGTTATGTTTTTACTAATTTCATTGTTACATGGAAAACTTATTCTTTAGCACTCGGTTAAGTAAGTGGCAGTGCAGAAAGTTTATTTGGGGCAAGTCTTGATGATAAATTCAGTGATTGTCTCTGCTTGCTCTTTAGCCAGCCCTAAGCAGCACCAGTCCCTGCACACAGTTGGACACCAGACAGCAAAATCGTGCCAGATACATCTCCTTCGGTGGTGACCTCATCGTCTTCTCGCCACTGACACACGGAAGTAAAGAGCACCACGAGGGTTTTTAACTTAAAAGTAATTCCTAACATTTTTTCTTCATATCATTAATTCTGATACATTCTTAAATTGTTGGAAATTTTGAAAGTATGCATTAGTATTCACTTCTATTTGGTCTATTTATATTGTATTACATAATGTTTTAATGTTCAGTGTTAAGACACTTTTGAGATACTGTAAAAACTGCAGGTTTTGTAAAATATTAAACAAGAAACAAATATTTGCATCTGTGTCCTCTTTTGGTTTTTCAAGACAGGGTTTCTCTGTGTAGCTTTTGAGCCTGTCCTGGAACTCACTCTGTAGACCAGACTGGCCTCAAACCCAGAGAGTCACCTGCCTCTGCCTCCCCAGTGCTAGTATTAAAGGCTTGTGTTCTCATTTATAACCATTCATTTGACCCTGTGTCTGTTGACAGCAAATAGCTTTGATTTCCTTCCTTCCTTTAGATGGAGTTTTCTGGATCACGAAGTTCATTCATTACAGATCAATCCCTGCTGCCCCTAGTAATTGTCTCTGTAACAGAACCAGTTACCATTGACAAGGTTGGAGGGGGTGTGAATCTTAAAAGATTTTTACAGAATGCTGTACGCTGCCTCACATGGATGCTAAAGCCACGGCCTCTTCTTGCTGGAAGAGCAGTGTGCACTCTTAACTGAGTTGTTCCAGCCCTGTTTGTTTATAAACTCATAGCTTTGTGATCATAAACACAGCACTAACTCAGGAGGGGGACAACTCAGCGGATGAAGGTACTTCATGTTATGGCACATGCCACCTCTTCCACACACAGACATAACACACAGACATACATACACACACATTACTCAAACATACACACATACACACACACACACACACACACACACACACACACACACACACACACACATACAATAGAAAATAAACACAAAACACAGTGCTCCAAACAACAGCACTAACAAATGCTAATAGCCAGTCCTGTGTTGTTATTTTGGTCTGAGTGTGGGAGACGGATTGGAAGAAGACATTAAGAAATAGAAACCTTGTAGCTTATCTTTTAAGGTTAGACACTTACAAAAGAGAAATCTCAATCTACTTTTGATATCAGAAGGAGATGTGTTTGTTGTTTGGGAAAGGTGATGTTTATCATGAAGCCCAAGCAATTTAGTGGAAGGTTACATAATGTGTTTGCATAAGAGAATGTTCATAGAAGGCCCTCTTTACCTACCAAAAGATGAAGACTGATCTAACAGTCTCCACTAATGTGTAGTAAGCTTGCCTGGTTGAACTAGCTCTTATAACTTAACCTATTAAGCTATGTTGTGCCACATGGCATTACTTCATCACCGTACTGCCCATCTTGCTTCCTCTGGGTCTCAGGGCAGTGAGATTGCTTGATGGGTAAGGGCACCAAGACTGATGACCTGGGGTTAATGCCTGGAACTTTCATGGCAGGAGAGGCCCAGCTCTCTGCATGTTCTTTTTCCTTCAGATATTTATTGCAAATGCTTATGACCTATCTTCATGAACATCAGAAGAGGGCATCAGATGGTTGTGAGCCACCATGTGGTGCTGGGAATTGAACTCAGAACCTCTGGAAGAACAGCCAGAGCTCTTAAGTACTGAGCCATTTGTCCAGTGCTTGCCTTTACAAACCTTTGTTTCTGTTCTTCCTGGGACATGAGCTTGTGACAATTGCCAATTTAAATTATTTAACAAGATAGCATTGTAGAACAGACAATTATGACATTTCCCTAATCTTTGAGCTTGTTGGTGATAGAAAAGATAAAAACTTTTGGTATGAGAATGTGGATATAAAAACCAAGACAGATACCAATGTCTCATTGGTATCAAATACGGATTTGAAAGCAGTGAACTGTGGCTTTAAAAGAAAAATGGGTTTAAAAAAATAGCGTACACTACAGCTATTTCAGGGCTGTATCTATGATTGTCCCATAAGCCATGATTGGGAATGATTCCAGTCACCTAGTGATGTGGCCTTCACACGTAACACAGTGTACAAGATTGCTGGTGTGAGCAACCTGTTCCCTGTTATAGAACAGTCTACATGGTGCATATACCACATAATTCTGCGAGACAACAGTAGCCTCACACCCTCTTCACTGTGTCTAGTTTGGCCCATATCCAGGGATATGTAAGTGCACCCTTTGATCTTCACCTGGAATCACCTAACAGTACTAAATAGCGTGCCTACCCAGACATAGTAGTGATAGCCTGCTGGAGAACTGTTAATACTGCTCATATATTACCTTTTTAAAAACTAGAATGGGGCTGGAGAGTTGGCTCAGCAGTTAAGAGCATTAGCTGCTCTTCCAGAGGACCCAGGTTCAATTCCCAGCACCCACATGCCAGCTCACAACTGTCTATAACTTCACTTCCAGGGGTCCAACACCCTCACACAGTTGCAGGCAAAACACTAATGTAAATAAAAATAAATTTTAAAAGTCAGATGGCTTACTATCACATATTTTCCTTTACATTACACTGTTCCGTCCCAAAGTGTATATAAAGACAAGCAGCTAGAGCACACTGGTTGAAGAGGGATGCAAGTCCGAGGCCTGAATAGGCCTCAATGATCTTCTCTGAAAAAATAAAGGGGGGGGGGGTGGTGGAGAGATGGCTCAGCAGCTAAGAGCGGGAATTACTTTTGTAGAGGACCTCTCACCTGTGAGCAGGCACCTGCACACATACACACCCAAACACACAGTTTAAAGGGCTGGGGAGTGTGTGGCTCAGTCAGAGAATACTTGCCTAGCATTCATAGGTCCTAAGATTTGACATCTAATATCAGAAAATAAACCAAAACCAGGTATCCATCAGCATGGGAATATTTATTAAATGGATGCCTTACAAGAAGGCTAAGAAGAAATAAATGTAAAGTGTTCCACACAGAATGAGCACGTAGCCTTTAAATGAGTAACCTTTAACTTCAGTTTCAAGTGCTACCCCCGGATTAGATCATAGTGGGTGCAGCACTGGTAAGGGTTATGTCCCCAGAAATCTCCATCTGGTTGATCTCCCTGAGGTTTTTCATCCGATGGTTGTACTGTAGCAAGTGGACATCGTTGACTGCAACCTTGAAATGGTCAGGTTCAACCAGGACTTGAATCTAGAAACCAAATATGAAAATGGTCAGCAAACATGTGTTAACTCGTGCAATTTAAGCATTCTACCTTGTGTATGTTTTTGAGGACATATTGTCCATAATGCATAATTTTCATTTGTCAATTTCTACATAAAGAGGGAAGGAAAAAAATACATGTGTTTTTAAACCAGTGTAATCTTCGTTCTGGAAATCCAACACTTCATCTTATTTGTGGAATGATGAAGATCCAGAGACAGTAACTGCATAGCAAAACAAATCTAGATTGCCACATTTAAAGCACAATAAAAAAAAAAGGCATCAAAATTATCAGGGTAGATAGTGGAAACCATAAAAGCATAATTTACCTACACACAAGTTTAGCTTCAGTGGGTTCTAAAATTCCTAAAAGTTAAAAACAGCAACATAGGAATTCCTTAATGACAAGTAATAATTTATAGGACTGGTTAGTTTATAGCCAGTTTGGGAAAGGCCAGGAAACACACACTCCTCATAGTGAGTGGACATATTCATCCTTAAACCCTTTAGAAGAGTGTAAGTTTGGAGGTTCCTGAAGGAACCTGGCCACATCCCCAGCCTTCTAAGCGTGGTTGCTGGGGTGGGGAGGAAGACTGGGTAGGTGCCCAGGATGGGCATGTGGTTTTTGAGTATTTCCGTCAATAGAGAGCACAATCTGCACACCGAAGCAGTAACTTACTTTGAATGGTCTGCCACTTTCAAAAGGGAAAGCTGACTGTCTTTCTTCCCTTCCCCAGTTGTTATCCTGTTTGGTGTTGCACACAATGACTTTCCTGTTGTTTTCATTGAATCGAGGGTTAAAGTGGAAGGCAATGTCATTCCCTCTCATGAAATTCAGAGTAATCCTGTTTTAAACCAGAAACCAAAGATATTAAAGTATGTATCAAGTAAAGTGCATCTGTTTCTAAAAAGCAAAACCTTTTTTATAATATACAGGAATTTCCAGACAGGAAGGAAATAAACCAGGACATGAGTTCCTAACTCAAAGAAGAGCAGACCCACCATCTCATTATGTGATCAACTCAAAAGTCTAGCAGGGCAATACATGTTATCTGTTTATTGAGACAGGATCTCACTATAGCCCAGGCTGGCCTCCAACTTGTGATTCCCTCCTACCTTGACCTCCTAAGGGCTGGGATTCCAAGTGTGTGCCACCAGCTATTTTGTTTTTCATTTGTTTATTTTGCAGGGTTATTCATTGACTTTGGTGCCATTCTTCCTGATCCTTCAGACATACTTGTCTGTATGGCTTTGGAGCCTGTCCTGGTACTCATTCTGTAGAGCAGGCTAACCTCAAACACCCAGAGATCCACCCGTCTCTGCCTCCTGAGCACTGAGATTAAAGGTGTGTGCTATCACCTCCCGGCATTACAGACATACTTTTGTGTACTCATGCATACACCTCCTAGATATCCTCAGCTTTAGACCCAGCGTAAGAACATTTTATACCTTGCTATAATTACTAATGGTTCTTTCCTGTCTTGATATCAAAAGCAAGCCAGCAAACTGAGAACTGTCAAGTCAGTTGACTTTAAGTTATTAGAGCTAGTGGGACAAGCCTAAGCTATCAGCCAAGCTTTTATAATTAATAAGTCTCTGTGTTGGGCTGGAAAGATGGTTCAGTGGTTAAGAGCACTGGCTGCTCTTCCAGAGGTCCTGAGTTCAATTCCCAGCAACCATATGTTGTCTCACAACCATCTACAGTGGGATCTGATGCCCTTTTCTGGCATGCAGGCCATGACATGCAGATAGAGCATGTTAAATAAATAAATCTTAAAAAAAAAATCTGTCTTTTGGGGGGGTTATTGTTTGTTTGCTTTGGTTTGTTTTGGGGGGAGCTGGCAGCCCAAAGAAAAATTCATCTACAGGTGGTACAGGTGGACTGGTAAATTCCACTTGAACTTTCTGACCCATTTCATTCTCCTGGGGGTTAAGCACACACGAGTCCTGTTAAGAGGCTGACCTTACTCCTAGGTTTCTAAAGGTGTGTCCATACAGTAACACTAAAAGCTGACAGACTGTGGTCTAGATCTAACAGCAATTCTCTGGGTAGTTTGAATAACTTAGGAAGCAGTCAGGAAAAGTGACAGTAGTGTTTGTGT